GCCCGTTATGCAGGGAAAAAATAACGGTCGAGCACCTTTTCAATTAGAAGGATTGACGTATATAGACAATATTTTTGCATAACATCGGACCTGTGCGTTGTCTTGGGGCACGGCAGCGGGCACAGATATTTTATGTGTGTTTGTGTTGTGTCTTTGTTGACTTTATGTTAATTTATTAGAATAAATGTAATTTATTAGCGTGAAAGGAAGGGGTTATTTAACCCCGCTCGAGGTATATCGAGTAATGCGACGTAGTGCTGAAAATGATGGACGTTCCATCAGGTATGCGGCTATTGCCATTTGAGTTGTTTACGAAACTCTGCAAGACGCCGTTAGACGTTTTCGAGAAACTGTCCTACCATAGAAGGCCCAGTTCTGGACGCCTAGGGTAAGAGAACCTCAGGATGACCGTTTTATGACATTGAGAATTTTGCGAAATCGGCCCCTTTCTGTTGTTCATGCGTTTCGTCAGCTCTAGGAAGTTTGAGGTGTCCAAATTTCTGAACTCACTGCTTGAAGAAGATTAAATAAGTATGGGCTGTTTGTTTTTCGTAAGAAAGTAAAAAAAAAGAAGACGTAAGAAAACACGGACTTATACGGCTCGCATTTGTTCGAGGCCACAGCCATTGGTCTTTGGACGATTGGTCTGCTGACCTTTTTACAGATGGATGTAGATTTGCTCTACCATCTCCAGTTGGCGTAAAAGAATGTGAGAAGGCGAATTGAAAGGTAAGAAGCTTGTAATTTATCCCAGAACCAACCTTTTTACGTAGCTCTATGATGATGTGAGCGGGAATTTTAATGGAGAGTCGCACAGAGTTGGTCGTCGTTCGAGGAGAGTCTTTGACGGCCATTCGCTATGTGGATGAAATTTTGGAACCTCGATGAAATCAGCGACAGTCCTATTCTAATGCCCGTCTGCATGTCTCTCGCGTAGTACAAACGTACCTTCAACAGCATAACATCAGGGTCTTAGCCTGGCCAGCCCGTTCTGAAGACCTGAACCCCATTCAACATTTATGGAATAACCTCAAAAGACGAAGAAGAGCACGTCCATCACTTCCACACTCCACCTCCAAAGGACTCTTCGTGAAGAATGGGCTAACCTCCAGCAAAGAGACATTTCCAGACGGTAGAAATTATGCCGAGTGGACGTCGAGACGTATTTAAGGCAAGAGGATGATACGCGATATATCTAAAACAAAATTAAACCAAATTGATCAGTCCGTTTTTTTTTTCATTTTTCCTTAGCAATTTACATTATTTTTTTACATTTTTAGACAAAGACCGTAAAAAACGTGAAACTTTCATTAATATATAAAAATATAAACAAATCAAGTTATATTACAAGTGGGTGGAAATTTTTCGCCTTTCAGTATACAGGGTGAATTGCTACTCGTGCTACAAACTTCTCCAGTAGATTCTTCACCCTAAAATGAACAAAAAAGTTCATATTGTCCATGGTCCGATTNCTGAAATGGTTGAGAATCGGACCATGGACAATATGAACTTTTTTGTTCATTTTAGGGTGAAGAATCTACTGGAGAAGTTTGTAGCACGAGTAGCAATTCACCCTGTATAACGATAAAAATAATACATATAGTTTGAAATAAACAACAAAATACGAGTGTCCGGTTTTTTTGCCTTTGAGTTTATATGAAACAAAGTTGGCCGTAGAACTAAACCCTGAGGAGCTCCAGGGTCATTTTATACGGTTACAATCACATTTGAGGCAACCCTAAATGTTATCTTTTTTTAAATAGCTGTGAATCACTTTGATAATATTTCTTGGAAAATTGTGTTTTATGAACCTGTAAACATGAAAATAAGAGATTATCAAATCAAACGATAATCAAATTGATAGGTTTTTAATGAAAAATCTTGATTGTCCCTTACAAAAATAAAAAGACATGACAAGTTCGTGCAACTTTATACCTGTCTTCTGAATTGATCGGCATTTAAGAATACGATTAAGGTGCAGTTCGTTCATTCTTTTCAGAATGCATAAGGAAGGTTAAAACTAGTTTTAGAACAGTATTCAATTTACAATTATAGTTTGGTAGCTGAGCCCTTTTTTTCGCTTTTTCAAATGTGTGTCTGACTGAAAAAGTGTTATGTGAATGAATCACAAATTAATTTACTATCTGTGTAGAGCTTTATTCACCCAGACAGCTAGTTAGAGAAATTAATTATACTAATATGAAAGGTTAGTGTTATGTTATTATTGGCTTACACCTATTACATATTTTACTTTTTGAGCCTTATTTTTTTTGTAGGTTTATTGGATTTACCACGTTGCAGAATCTGATGGAAATGAATATATTCAGTGACAAGACCGGGCAAGCAAGATATAAAATAAAATGTTTCATCGTTCATTGAACAACTTTTCTACATATGTTGTAGTTTTTGCTTGTTTGCTGGGTACAAGTTACTTTCGCCGTGTTTTTACTTTTAATCTAATTGTGCTTTACATTTTCGGAAAAATGAACGGAGAGTATATTCTACTTTTGTGCCGGTATATATATATATATATATATATATAATTTTTTTTTTTGTGGATTTCCCTTTTGAAAAGGCGGACGTTGAATGTTATCAGCGGAAAATGTTAAGAGGAGATGTCAACTGTTCTTATTGTCTCGATTGAATAAAATTAATCGGCGATTGTTCCTCGTTTGAACGGCGGTTTTGTTCCTCGGTTAAAGGGGACAAAAGAATACAGGAAGACCGCTGATTACTACTGCCGAGCTTATAAACAGTTGTTAGCAAATTTAAATTAACAGGGAGTGCCCGAATCTGAGAGACTTGCTTCCGTTTATCCTTCCGATCTGACTCAGGCAAGGGACTTCACACCGGTTTCAATATGTTCCTGCAAATATTTAAAAAGTAAAGCAAATATATGTTGATATTCGAAATTTTGCAAAGACAAATTTTGTCACTTGTGTGAAGAAAAAAGCACTAAATTCCTAGAATAAGAAAATAGTGATTTAGTGGGCATGGGCTAGATTCACAGCTATTTAAACAAAGATAACATTTAGGGTTGCCTCAAATGTGATTGTAATCGTATAAAACGACCCTGGAGCTCCTCAGGAGTTAGTTCTAGGGCCAACTTTGTTTCATATAAACTCAAAGACAAAAAACCGGACACTCCCATTTTGCTGTTTATTTCAAACAATATGTATTATTTTTATCGTTATGCACTGAAAGGCGAAAAATTTCCACCCACTTGTAATATAACTTGATTTGTTTATATTTGTATATATTAATGAAAGTTTCACGTTTTTTACGGTCTTTGTCTAAAAATGTAAAAAACTAATGTAAATTGCTAAGGAAAAGGAAAAAAAAGACGGACTGATCAATTTGTTTGAATTTTGTTTTAGATATATCGCGTATCATCCTCTTGCCTTAAATACGTCTCGAAGTCCACTCGGCATACCGTCTGGAAATGTCTCTTTGATGGAGGTTAGTCCATCTTCACGAAGAGTCCTTTGGAGGTGGAGTGTGGAAGTGATGGACGTGCTCTTCTTCGTATTTTGAGGTTATCCCATAAATGTTCGATGGGGTTCAAGTCTGCAGAACGGGCTGGCCAGGCTAAGACCCTGATGTTATGCTGTTGCAGGTACGTTTGTACTATGCGAGCGACATGCGGAGCGACTGTCGTGCATTAGAATAGTCGCTGATTTCATTGAGGATAGGCAACGCGTGATGGTCCAAAATTTCATCCACATAGCGAGCCGTCAAAGACCCTCCACGAACAATAACTAACTCTGTGTGACTCTCCTATTGAAATTTCCGCCCACACCATCACTGAGCTACGGTGAAAATGTTGGCTCTGGGATAAATTACAAGCTTCGTACCTTTCAATTCGCCTTCTCCATACTTTCGATTTAGTCGGCACGGGGGTCTCAATACTTTTTTAAAATAGAAAAGGCCCATAAACCTTAGGCTTTTTAGCTTTGGAAAACTTCTTTTAAAAAGGCTTACTACCTAAGAAAACTTAAATTTTAAATTAATTAATCTTTTTATGTAAGGTATTGTTTGAAATGAAAAAGTTAGGGTCACGAGCGGGATTCGAACCCATGACCTTCGGCTCGCTAATCACTTGAGCTATTGTGACTTCGATCCATTCGGACAGACCAATTTTCCCTCCTTTTTGCCATTTTTCAAATGTCGTGAAATCGGGATTCGATTCTCGGTGACATGGTTGGGATGGGTTCGAATCCCGCTCGTGATAAAGACTTTTTCATTTCAACCTTACATAAAAAGATTAATTAATTGTAAGACGTTATTCGGTCAATCATACCACGAAATATAATGGATTTAATAAACGAAGTATAACTTCACTAACAGTTGAGATGGGAAGTTAGTGCCAGAGTGGACCGAGGTCTCCATAGCTCAAGTGGTAGAGCAGCGGCGTATCTAGACGAAGATCGTGGGTTCGAAACCCGCCCGTGACACTGACTTTTTTATATCAAAATGTAATCAATACCGTTTTATAGGAATTCATCCCCTCTATCAAAAATGTATTTATATGTGACCACCCTCTTAATTTTATCAGTATCTGCTGATCGTTCTGCCTGTGAACTAAATCTACTCATGTGCCAATCAAAACTATACATACGTGTCTCCTCATATTCAAATTTTTGTCAATGCAACTCAAATTGGTTCAATCTTTTTTCAGAGAAGTGTAGGCCTCAAAATAAGTATTTTAAAAATTAGAAGTCTATTAACTGAAAAAAAATATAAAGAAGAATTAAAAGGTTGTACAAAAAATGACGCCTCTGAAAATATGAAATCCCATGAAAAATTTTGAATAAGACCAATCTTGGTGTATGTATAGTTACTATAATGATTATTTTTAACAAAATTACTTGCACCGAGCTTTCCCAAATTTCTTTTCTATCTATGGAAATAGAACATAATTTACTTTCTCTTAACTATGTGACCGATGAAAAAGGCAAATGTGCAAACCATGTGTTGTCATAAACATTAGGGTTAATTATCTAAGGGGGTTTAACTGGGCTTATCGTTAAACTGCTGTCCATCTAGCTTATTTTGAGATCAAGGTAAATTTTAGTTATTTATTATGTACAGATTAAAGGCGAGCGGTGGCCTCAATAATATCAATTTGAATTATTATAATCGGCGATGTTATAACGAGCCCATGTTCCTTTTTTTTCAGCCCGCGTGGTCCGATGACACACGGTCGTCCCACGCGCGGGAAAAACGTCTTTACAGGAAAAATGACCTGTGAAAAACACTGGAAAGCCTGGAAGCCCCGTTGAAGTAAGGTCACGACTTGTTCTTGGGCGAGGTATTTACCAATTTTTCATTCCCCTCCAATACGACTTGCGGGCAGCCCAAGTACAATCCACCGCGCAGTCATCGCAGTTCCTCAACCGACCTAAGACTTGTGTCGGAAGTTCAACGATTTTTCAACCTCTTCAAAATAATTCGAATATAAATCAGGTAAGCTTTCAGAAATTTACAAACTTCTAAGGCGCAAACGTGTTTCATTTTTGCTTGATGCTTGCAGAACGTTTACCCATCGAAAATCAACAAATGTTTTAAAATTTGAAAACTGCTTAATCAATCGTGAAAAAGATACAAATAAAACAACTTCATACAGTATTAAATTTTGAAATGCATTTTGTATCGCAATGCTTTGTCGTTTTTACGCCATTTCCACCGTAATAAAATTGTGATTATAGAATATCACATTTACGTTTTTACATATCTCATAATTTACAATGAATAGTGTATAATTAACATTTTTAACATTACATGACCGCTTTAACCCACTTGGTTAAAAAATCCTTCTCAATCCATTCCTTGAAAGTGCTTACATTTGACTTAATTATTGAACAAGGACGTGTTCTCAATATTTTTTTATGTTGAAGAACACTGTATTAGTAGGCCATTTTGTAAACATTATTTCATATTACTATCCAAATAAAGCTAAACTTAAGCATATTCTATCATTGCCTCGTATGTATTCAATTTAGAATTGATCCACGGATTACAAATTGTTATTGGTTCGTTAAACAAGCATCTTTTAAATTATTACAAACTTTTGCGTTTTTTACATCATATGATCAATATATCAAAATTTATTTTCTTTCACATAACTTTAAAATTATTTTGTCTGACGTTTTACTAGTAGTCTTTTCAAAACTCAAGTTCAAAAATGAAAATCTTTTAAAATTTCCTCTTTGTTTTCTTCCAATTATTTTTTGTTCTGTTCATTTCTCATTATAAAAATTTATCTGCTTAGCAATGAATGAAACTAATTTGTTTACGCACACAAGGGAAAAAGTAAAGTGATAAAAGGGGGTACAAACAAACATACAAAGTGAGGGTGAGAGAGAAAAAACAAACAGCCAAGCAAATAAACTGATAAACCAAGCGAAAGAGATAAACAAACAGATATAGAGAAAGAAGCAGACAAGTCATAATGTTTGCGAACTGTACGAAAAATAACAAAGAAAAATTTAACTTAACAAAAATTTAACTCTTAATATTATTAAATAAATAACTCATTTGTATGGCAATTGGAAGTCTGTTTAGAAGAGCAAAGTAAATATTTTTAAAACACTAAAACGTTTAAATATTAAAATTAAAATTATTACTATTGACTATTGGCACTTTACTCTCTACTTTAGTTCAATATGTGTATATTATCTGTCCATATTATTATTTCCATATTTATATTTATATATATTTCCATTTCTCCTTTGGAGGTATATTCATGATCATTATGATTTCATAAAGTACTGGATTTTCTGCTTTGGGATATATTTCCCGGTATTTCCGGTTAAATTAGATATTGAATTTATGTCAAACAAGTGAAGTAATTGAAAATATTTTTTATTGACAGCATTAACTGTCTGATCTGAGATGAGCAGGGTTTAAATATTAAAACATATGTTAACCTTATTCATTTCAACCAGGTAAACAATATTAATCAAATTTTGTATGGTTTTAGAAAAAATAAAAGGAGAAGTATTAGTATTAATTTGTGGTTGCCAATGAAAGTCGTGTACCATAAGTCAGATACTTAAATATTGAATTTGAATCTTTTGCTTTACATCTAATTTTAAGTTAATATATATAAATTAAAATTAGTACTGTTTTATAGTCGATTATACTCCGGTTTAAAAAAATAAAAATAAAAGGAAAACGTATCATTACAAAAACCAGTTTATGGTCAAATCACTTTGTTTAGATATGCAGGGTGTCCTTTGGCTGAAATTCTCTTGAACCAATGACGTTATAAAAAAAAATTTTTTTTTAAACGTTTTAATATTTTTATTAACAATATACAGGGTACCTCAGGCCCAGTTCAACTTCAAAATTTTAAATACGACCCTATACATTCTGACATCATCGTTTCGCTTTTCAGCACAAAAATCCTTTAAAATGATGTGTCAGGAAGTATCGGGCCGTGTTTGAAATTTTGAACTTGAACTGGGCCTGAGGTACCCTGTATAATTTTTCTTCGAAAAAGGTAAAAATTTGAAACTAGACTAAAAAATAATAAACACGTATTTTTTGTTTTTATGATAGCTTCGTTCGTTCAACTGAAATTCAGCCGAGCCAAAGAAAAAGGACACCCTGTATACTTTAATTTAAAAAAATCATAAATCAGGAGGAAGTATTTTTTTTTTTTTTTTTTTATTGTGATCCTTAAGAAAATCCTTTGGTTTCCAGCTAAGGAACCAACCCCGAGGAAGTGTCGTGTGTCGACCTTAAACCGATCCTGGTTTCTAAATCAGCACCGGAACAAGATCAGTAATAATTGATATCCTTGGCCGAAGGAAAAAAATATATTCCTTACAACCATTTCCGATTCTTGCAAATACATATTACCATAGTTCCGAGTCGGCCCCAATTACCTTTATAGCCATTCACTTTCATTGATTTAATTTGACGTCTTTCCTCCTGTTATTTATGCCCTAGTTACCATACGATCTGACAGATTGTAAACTGTTAAATTACTTTATAAAATTTCACAAGGATGTTAAACAGTTCTCTTTCAATTTATTTATATAATCGATATTCTTACTTTCAAAAGATTACAATCAAAATCCTGGCAAATACAGCTTGCAATTGGATATTTATTATGAGATTTCTTCCAAAAAATATAATCCCGTTGTAAATTCTCGTTCATCCTCATTGTCATTAGACAAAACAATCTTTCACCCGAAAAAAAAAAACAGGAAGAAAATATTCAGAATCTGGTATTCACAGTTTTTAGTCGGACCAGGTTTCAAAAAACCAAATAACAGGATCTATAGTGCTTTACATCAAAATCAGATTGATTATTATGCATTCAGAATAATTACAAAAGCTTTTCCCTCTTAGATATTTCTATTTTTGTATTCAAAAGAAATTTTTTGATAACTTAGATTTAAATAATCAAAAAGTTAAAAACAAAACAATTGTGACTTTCTTTAATAGCAGGGAAATCTCAGTAAATTCGAATAAATTTTACAACAAAACTTAAAGTAAAAATCAAATGTTTTTCGTTGGAGGACGAATTCTTGATTGTGCCTACATTGTATTGTCAATTGCATTTAGGCCTTGATTTTATAACTAAAATTCAAATGACTACAGATCCTGAGAGTGAACTCATTTCGTTTAATTTTGACAAAGTGAAAAAATTCCTTTACTTCCAACAAGAACTGGTTTACTCGAACTAGCATCCATTGATGGGTCAATTTTTTGGGATATCTTGAAGGCATGGACTTACAACCAAACTGGGATGTACAAATGCGATCACCAATGACATCGCTTTAAGGTGCTGGTATGGATAATTCAATTGGAAATGTGTCGAATTAGAAAACCGTAAAAACGGCTTTTTTATATAAATAAAATTGGGCTTAATCGTAATCGGGTCTTAAATATCTAAAGACAACCAGAAGGATTAACCGACATTGTCCATTCTATCTCGACTGTTAAAATTAAATATAAAATAATCATTATCTTTTTTTTAAATAATTTTCATAACTGGACACTACAAGGATAAAAATAGATTTGTAGTATGTGATAGTAATGTCGACACATCTAGATGTCCTTCGGTCAAAGGCTTTCTTCGGGTTTCGCAAGATAAACAAGGTGGAGTCAGTAACCTATCTTTCTTTACAGCTATTCCAAGTGTTTTCCGAATGACATTTGCATATAAAATAATATAAAATACCACATACTATATACGTAAATTGACAATAATTGAGATACAGATTAAAGTTCTTATTTTTAAAGTTGATTTCTTTCGTAGTATACAATATTTTGTAGAATTTCTCTTATCCTGTTCCTGAATTATGACTTAGATTGTCATACATGATCGTGATGGTTTTTTTTCAGTTTTTCTTCACGGTCATGAGCCTTTCACCATCACGCTATCGTCTGTTCTCTTCAGCTGTGAGAACATTTATTTGAAAATATGTGGAGATTTTCTCTTTTATTTTGTTAGTAACATTTCCAGCAGTTGGGCATTTCTTGATAATTTTTTCCGAGTTTCTACTTTTGTGCAGCTTGTTTCGAAATTTCGCAAATATAATAAAATGCGAATAATAAAAACCAGCGTAATCCAGGTTTTTCCAAAATAATAAAATCAAAGTAAACATCATACGATCATCATTAAAATTAGAATGCAGACTTTTTAAAATTTAATCGTATAATAAAGATTCGTACTTAAATTAATGATTAAATATTTATTACTTCGAACTGATCAAAAGAATTGCAATTTTTGCTGTTATAATTTTAAAAATGAAACAGTACACGACACATATACATTATTGAGTAAGCATCATCCCAATAGGGAACAGGTTTATGACGAAGTAGTAGCAATATGTAACTAGCATTTCCGCTGTATTTATCAATCTTTTTTTAACGCACTATTTTGTTTATTTTAAAAAACTCAAAATGAATAGTTCATATTTTGATATTAACATAATTCTGATGAATTTGAATTGAGAAGAAGTAATGAGCTCGTAAAACCGGTTTATAATCTCAATGGACAATAGGTGATTGTAAGGACGTTTCTATCTTGTCACAATAAGGAAAAACCCAAAGTTGAGGAACAGTAAAAACAAAGAACAAAACTTGTTTCTGAGTCATATTAAGCTATTTCACATCGATAATTCACTGCTAAGTTTGAACTTCGTTAAGTCCTATATTTGAAAGTTAAATAATTTCCGATAAGACTTGTTGTTATAAAGGGAGATTTACGAACGTGATTATTTCATCTTTCTCGTATTCATTGTCGTAGAATTTCCATTTCAATTATTATTTATAAGCACCAATTGTCAAGGTTTATCAAAACAACCATTCTTTTGTTCTTTATCTTTTGGAGCTTGTAAAATACTGAAATATATTGAAATTTTTTATTGTAAGACGATTTGTATTAAAATTTTAAAAATTCGAAGTGACACGTATTGTTTTATTTAAAAAATCAATTGATTTTCAGTTGTTAAAGACTTTATGAATATTAATAGTTTAATTTCCAGAATGTGCAGAATTTTTTACAAATTTTACAATGAAGTAGAGTGTGTTTTGACTTTATTTTTATTAATACCAAGATGGTGGCTTAAGAAAAATAAATATTTAACCAGCTTGTTTTCTAACTTGTTCAAAATTTAATAGAATTTACTGTAAAAAACAGACAAAATTCATGTTGTATTAAATTGTAATTTCTCATTGTTGCTATTGAATATTGAACAGGATTTTACGTCGAATTAATTGTTCTCAAAAATTCCTATTACGATTTGCCAAAACATTAAAGGTTTTATGCTGTTAGGAAGTTCAATTTGGTTTTTTACTTAAGCCAAAACAAATTTTGAATGTGTTTTCATTAGCTTACAAAATATTGGTCATATTTGATACTTTTTGTTCATTTAAGTAGAAATCTTTAGTACTAACCGTAATTCACAGAGGACTAGTCGATTGGATTTTGGATATGACCAGTTATTTATTCAGACATCGTGAGATGCGGTCTGGTGTGATGAAGGTTTCAGAAAAATATTTTCTTTATCGTGCCAACGTTTCGATCTTTATTGAAATCATCTTCAGAGCCAGGGACTGGATTGAATATAAAAAATATATACATTTTGCATTGTATAAATTCACTTTTTTCCACATCCTACATGTATTTGTTAAATGTAAACAATGTTTGTAAATCCCAGGCCCTGAAGATGATCTCAATAAAGATCGAAACGTTGGCACGATAAAGAAAATGTTTTTCTGAAACCTTCATCACACCAGACCGCATCTCACGATGTCTGAATAATTATCGATTAACGGTCACTAACCACCACACACGTTATAACCAGTTTTCTTTAGCGATGGTCTGTGGATTGGACGTGGTGGTGTGGACCGTTAAAGGAAAGTAAAAGAAATGTCTACAGAGCAAAAAAAATAAGAAAACAAAACTGTTTTCTCTAATAGCAAGCAGGCAGCTCAGAAACAATGAAAGTTAAATGGCAAAGTAAAATAATGATAATAATATTAAATAATAACAAAATAATAAAAACAATAACTTGAAGTGTACGATGAACTGATGTAGGCTGTGGTCTCTCGACTGGACAACACCGGGGACCAGTCAATACGTTTGGGTTGAAACAGCGACCGAGGCGATGCTCAACTTGCAAAGTTCGACTTTTAAAGAAGTTAACAGGAGGTCCATGGTCGTTTTGTAGTCGGTGCTCGATGATGCAAAGATGAGTTCCTAGCCAAGGTTCAACCTGGAGTGTTTTTTATTGCTGTTGTAGCCAGTGCCTGTCCAGTCCCCACGGGGATAATCCCCTCAAAGAGTTTGTTGTCGTATGGTTTAAGAAAAATGTAAAAATTAATTACCCAGTCGAACAATTTGGGTGATTATGCCTTGACTTCCTACCTGAGAGTTGGTTTCAAAATCCTGTGTAGAAGACCTTAGAAAATAAAGGCGGGAAAATAAAGCAACTCTGTCAGCATCCTGTGCAACAGACTTTGTTAGATTTGAGTAGATAGCTTATTTTGAGGAATGATATCAGTTCCTGTTTAATAGCCGCTCAAATAAATAATTAGCTTTCTCGTAGATTTTTTTTTTTTTGACCCCTAAGTAAATCTTGCAATTTCTCCCTTTGTTATTATACTCTAGTCTGACTTGAACAATTTTAAGGCCATGTATCCTTTTATATGAGACAATTATTTACAGTTTACACAAAACAAAATTATGTAAACAAATACTTACATTAATACTGGATAAACTAACGTATTCTATTGTTCCCAGCTATTTAGAAGTTAAATTAGTCAGTTTTAAAGTACACTCCCGGATAGTTACATTTAATTTAAGTACAAAAATGATAAAATCGGTTCAAACATAGATCTGACAATTGTGTTCTTGATTTAGAACAGGCCTTCGAGCGCGTCTGGCACTCGGGCTTGCTTTGGAAACTGAAGAACATCCTCCCTCATACGTACGATCTCATACCGAGATCTTATCCGACGGGCCGATTTTGCCTAGTCCGTGAAAGAAGTGAATTGTCACTTTATAAAAGCATTAGGTCGGGTGTTCCACAAGGAAGCATACTTGGCCCATTTCTATTTTCAATATACACTGCAGATATTCCTACACATGTTAACATTTCAACAAATACATTGATGATACGGCGATTCTTACACTAACTTGAACCGTTATAACACTTGAACGAATTAACAATATGGTTCAAAAAGTGGAGAATAAAGATAAACCTGACGAAAAACGTCAAGATAAATTTTACCTTATATAAAAATATCTGTCCCGCAGTGAGTACAAATGTAATCCCCAATGCCTACCACCTGACTTTTCATGGATAAACGACTCACTTAGAATCCCCACACAAGAGTGTAAAGACTGCAAACAAACCGACCTTATAAATTATTAAAAAGACTACTTGACTCACGATCAAAATAAGACACAAACTTTTAATTTACAAGACAATGATTAGACCTCTCTTCCTACGGTACCTGGGCGTAAGGTTGTGAGACGTGGGGCTCAACCAAGGATTCCAATTCCCAACGTCTCCAATCATTCCAATCTAAAATTCTCCATCAAATTATGCTCCTTTTTACGTTTCAAATTACACTATTCATAACGACCTACATATCCCGTTTGTAATGAACCCACTATAAAAAATTTCATAAATCACTGAACACACACAATAATCTGTTAGAAGCGTCGGTGGCCGCAACGGTTTAGGCGTTGACACGGCGCTCATCACTGTAAGGTAAAGGTCCCGGGTTCGAATCCAGCGGCCTTGCATTCGAACCCGACATAAAACGTCAGCACACTGAGGGTTGATATGACCTCTGCTGTTGCGAACCCTCGTTAAAAAATAAATAAATAATCTATTATTACGACATTTTTCACTTCCAAAAATACCTGAAAATCCTCCAGGACGATTGAAGCGAGTGACCCCTTGACCTTCTTGTTGAGTTAGAATTAAAAAGATTTCAGTGTGAAGGAGTGTTACCACTGGTTAAATTCTCGTGCAACAATCGACAAATTCAACATGTATGAACATATTTACTTAATCCAACATTTGCCGTTGTAAATATCAAATAAATGTAATAAAAAAAAGCATTTCGAAATTCATCTGTTCAGTTGATATTTACACAGTTCCTCAGAGAAAATGGTATATGAGTGGAACATAACTAGCGAGAATAGGTATACCTAGTGAAATGATCAGTGTAAACCAGTTCAATGTGCTAACATTATTAATTCACCAGTTTTTAGTTAATTTATTTATCCGGTTGTTTTTGAAGAGAATATTTTCACAGAAAAAACCCGAAAAATTGGCCAGTATTAAAATTTTGAAATGTAAATCTTTAATAATCGAATTCTTCTAAGTCGGTAAGCATCAATGCTTTCTTCTTCGAGGATGACTCTGAATTTCGACAGGTAGGGATTCGGCTCCCCACTGCCCGCGGGCCATCCTGAAGAGTGGGAGTCCATCCTCTTGTCCCGATTTATTATAGCACGGGGTCGCGCTGTACGACGCTGAAATACGCTATACGTGATGACTGTTGTTTCAGAAATGGGTAGCGTCCCTCAAGTGTCCGTCCTGAAGGGGCCGGTCGTCGGCAACGTTGACAAGCCGAGACTCCACAAGCTCTTCTCAGCGAATGCGGCCAAGCATCCGGAAAAGACAGCTTTGATCTGCGAAGAAGGTAAGCCGTTGATTATATAAAAACTTGATGAGCGTTTGGCACAAGATAGCCGGAAATTAAGTCAATCGGACCATCAAGCTCGACCACTTCTGTAAAAGTCTGAAGGTTGCCATTCTCGTACTTCTTCACTTTAATTTCCTCACTTCAATCACAAAAACTATCTATAGTATTGCACAACCTATTCTGACCACGACAACTAACACCCTTCCAAAAAAAATCAACATTAAAATTTGTATAAAAAGTCAGTTGAAAATAAAATACAAATTTCGATTTTTAGGAGTTTTCACGGTTATGACAATCAATGTCTTGATGTTTTTTAATAGAAGTTATTAACCTATTTTAATAAATACATGATGAATACTCTGATACTATCAAATTATTATAAAACAAGTTTTTTCTTCTTGATCTGCCTATCCTCCCTGATTGTGTCAGTCAGGCACGCATTTCCCAATCTTCAGTGTTGGGTGTGCATTTTTGTGTAGTGCATTCACCGTACTTTTCTTTCAAGACTGCTACAACTTCTCTCCACATAAATCACCCAAACTCAACACTGAAGATGGCGAGATGCCGAAACGCGTCTGAATGTCAAAATCGTCGGGTATAGGCAGACCAAAAAGACAGGTAACTATCGAGCAATAGGTTCATTACACCACAGACCACAGGAGGAAATCTCACAATAATGTTTTTAATTATACAGGATTAGACATATATTAAATGTGTTAATATACATAGTTTTCTATACTCGTTGGAAAGTATAAAGAAGAGAATTTACGTTTCACCAAATAAGTTAATGTTTTGTTCATTATTTTTTGTTAATTTGATAGATAACCATTGCAAATATCAAAAACAAAAGCAATGATAGTTTTATACTTTTATGGTCAAGAGTGAAAAGAATGTAATTCATCTTTGGTACTTATTAAATTAATAAAACAGTTAAGCTACACTTTTATGCTGTCAATTAATTACAAAATCATTAAAAGCCTTTAAAAAAAATATGAACTATGTCTTTTATAAACCGTTTGATGTTTGTAGTTTTAATAATATTTGAATAACAACCTATAGAATAAAAGGTCAACAATAATGTTATCAATATAAGATAATACAGTTTTTCTGTAATGTTGATATTAAATTAATGTCGTGTAATTAAAAAAGGTATGATAGTGCAAAGCTTGTATTATATAATAATATATAAGTATAAGGTAACATAGCTGCAAATATAGCAATAAAGCTATATTTTTGATTTTTTACGAAAAAAAGTATTGATTTTTTAAAACATTCGATGTCCACTAGCAAGTAAAACAAAAAGTGACAAGAAATGATAAATTTGTTATAGGTATCCCTATTGTGCGGCAATTTTGGTTGTTTTTGGTTTGTTATAATATATTTTATTTAAATTTCCTATGGTTTCTATACCACGCCATGAGCCAAAGAACGCATTTAAAAAAAATTATATTTCAATTAACCTAGATTAAAAGTAATTCCATCGAACTACCTTGATTTTGATTTTTATCTTACAAATTGATCTATTAGCATACAAATGATAAACAAAGCAAATAGTTCATGGTTACTTTTTGTTATGTATAATCATAAAGAAAATTTAACTTCGGCAATTTTTCTATTTCGCAGATTTTTGTTTAACACTAACATTAATCAAAATTAAAATTTTATGCTGTTATTTATCATAATTTAACATCACCAACTGGCACATAACTTTGTTTCGTTGTTGTTCGTTTAAAATGTAATTTATTTAACATTTTTGAACAATAATTAATTTTAAGATTTTAAATCAATTCTTTGAAAACTGATTAACTTCTTTGGTGGTTTTTTTGCACAGAAATATATTTTATAACTTTATTAAAGATTACAAGTACAAAAGAATTTTTTTTAAGCTCACAAAAATGTATACAGGATTTCAATTGAAAACATTTAGTTGAGATAATAAAATACTTTTGATACATTTTTTCAAGTGAAAGCCCAATGATAATATTAAATCGAATTAAATTAGACATAATTGTGCATATTTATTAACTTCTTACGGTGAAATCGCAATAATTTGTACAGCGAATTTGGAAATTGGATAATAATTAATTTCACCAAAATATGAAAATTAGAATATGTCATTTTCATTAGGTTCTTTAATTTTTCTAAACATGTTTTTTTTCTGATCAATCCTTAACAACAGTAACGTAAGAAATAGTAAAATGATGTTGATGTACGTTTTTATTGATTTGTCACTCAATGGGTCGTAAATGATCGGTATTAATGAATAAAAAAAACAATTCGATGGTTGTAGTCTTATTAAAATTATTCAGATTGTAAACGTTTATTAAGTACCATAAGTTTAGGACCTGCCTTACCTACTTAAAGTTTCAACTAGTAAGTCGTAAATTATATTTTTTTAAATATTATTCAACCGCATAATTAAATGTTTAATATTATCCTTGATTTGGACGTTATGGTCTTTAACAAATGAATAAAGCAAATCCCATGAAAAGTAACATACCTGAACAATTAGAATGGAAAATTGATCAATTAGAAAGAATCTGCGTAATATTGTAATAACCCATTTTTCCTCCCAACCTGCTGGTTGTGTATAATTCGTGTTCAGTTGTAGACATAAATAAATAAAGTAAAAAAGGTATTTTTTTGCAAAATTCGATTATGTCAAATATTTGACTTAGACCTAATAAATACGAACATACACCTTTTTTTATCCAATCAAAATTTCACTCGTTCACCAATGGATTAGGTATTTAATTAGATTTAATTATTATTAATCTGTTGTAACAATTGTTAATATTCTATATACTGAGAGGCAGGGCATAGAAACAGAGTAAGAAAATTGCTAGTATACACGTTTTTGTATACAAAAATATATTTAAATGAGCCTAAATCGTACTTTTTTTAGATTGCTAATGTTTCTAGTTATAGAGTTATCGTCATTAAAACCTCAACCGATATTCCAACAAAATATTTTTGTAATAGTTATTGTATACAGTGAACCTTGAACCCCATAGGGAATAATAGACTTGTCTTGCAAAAGTGTAAATTTTAAAAGTGTAATTCTGGAGGAAAAATCCCAAGATAAAAAAATCCAGGACGGGTCACCTGGACTTTTCCTTTAGGTTTAATCTCGCTAGTAAAAGTATTTTAAGTAGTTTCTAACAGTAGGTTAGAATACATGCAATTAAAATATTATTATTATGGATTAAATAATCCATAATAATAATATTCTAATCGAGACAGAAAAGCCTAAAGGTTGTACATTGGTTCGTTCATAGAGAATTTTGGAGGATACAGACCAAGGTTAAAATGTAGAACGTGACAAGGATCTTGAAATTATAGCCAGGTTTAAACTCATAATTAAATTAAACAAGCTCCAAATTACATAGCTTAATCATAATTTTTAATTTATGTAATTTTAGATTTTTTATTCATGAATTGTCATTAAAATAACAATCAAACCATAAAATGAATATTAAATCAAAACCTAAAACAAATTAATTTAATTCAGGATACGTTAAGAAGTAACTTAAATAATCCATTCCACTAAATCATTTTAAATTTAAAGATTGTTATGATCCTCAAGTGGGTAATGTGCTGACGGTTCGCAACAATTTTATTGCAACAAAAGTATTAAAATTTGACATCTGCAAACCGCAGAAGGAAGATGTTTATCATCCCATAAATAATATAAATATAATACTACATCTTCGGATAAAATGCAGACTTCCTGGATGAACACAGGATCCTGAAATTTTAATAAGAACGATTTATTATCGACAACTTGTATCTTCATTACGTAAAAGTACAATTCGAAACGACCCTTCGCATTATAATCAAATTTTATATTGAGGGTTTCACATTAACCTTGTTGATCGGAGGTGATTTCACATAGCCTGTGAATATTGTTCTCTTCTAAAAAAAAATTATTATTTCAATATAACCGTCTCGTTAACATACACGAAAACAATAAATTAAATCATAAACAGCTATTTCAATAGTGCAGTGTATGTTTTTAGATCAATTCGTTTCAATTTTGTAATCTAAACGTACGTCTGTTTCACATTAGTATTCGGCTCAAGGATAAATTATGCAAATTTATGATACAATACGCTAATTGGACGTTTCAGCTGTTTAGACAATTTTCGTCCCATTCAACATTCGAGATTTTACGAGCATTAAAATACTTAAAATAGTTGTCACAATTAAAAACAAAAATAGATATATCAAAAGTCAATTTAACTGCTACTCTTAGTTTTCTTCAATTAGAAAATTTAAAAAATGTACACGACCACGATCAGTCTTTAATTTTTTTTTAAATGCTGTCATTAATCAATTGTCGTCATTTATTTAATTAGCAATTTGTTCGTAGGTAGGCGCAGTTTTAAGCAGGCCAATTTGAGATAGGAAGTACATTGTCTTCTTGTAACAAAAGCTATTGTCGAATTTGTATTGTGTACTTTATGATATGACCATATCTGCTACATATCGACTGTACTAGATACAATATTTATTATATTATTTTTGGTACAAGAACGAATTTTAAAAAGTACCTAGTATTGAGGCGAAGGTCGTCGGTTCGAATCCCGCTCGTGACTAATTTTTTCATCTCAACCAAGACCTTACATAAAAAGAATAATTAATTTAAAAAAGCACGTTGAACAAACTTAAAATATTGTGTCATTCGTTTAATTAGTTCTGTCTATGGGCATTACTGAGCTGGTAAACAGTTCTCCGTAAAAATATGTTCATAAAAATTCTTTTACATATTTTCGACAATTGCATAAGCTTGGCTACAAAAAAAAAAACCGTTCCATTGCAGGTAATTTGGCACTTTAGCTTGTCCTGTCAATACTATAAGTTCTTAACTTTTAACTGTTCAGCTTAAGACGTGTAGTATTTTAGAAATAAAAAACTCTGATCAACCAGGAGAACGTTATGAACAAGGCTAAGCTTATGTATCCGAAAAAATAGAAGGGATGATATTAAGTCTTGAG